GCCGGCCCTTCTTTTTGTTTTTTACATTCATGATTTGACCATGTGGTGTCCTTCTTTTAGCTTATACTTTATACTGTTTAATTCTAAAAAGCTCCTGAAAACTAATTATTCCCTTCACAAAGCCATTCTCGTTTCATTTCAGATTTCATGTCACTAGCACTGGAGAGGGTAAATACTACCCTTCTTATTGGTTTCCATGTTACTAACATGATTGTAATTGAGCTATACTTTGAGGAGCACTGTGACCAAACCCTAGCTTCCTAATTTTGACTTCTGTGCAAAGCTGTATTTGTTCATCATTTCCTATCTAGTATTTATCTCCTTTTCATTCCTAATGATTTTGCACTACTTGGTCATTTCCAGTCTGTACTACTTTTGTAACCCCATCTCCTAGGCTTTCTTCACATCACTTTTTAAACTAATAGTTCTTATAATCACATATTTTACCATATCTTTTCCCAGTTTAAAAACTCTTGATGGCTCCCCAGTATGCACAGAGTAATGTCCAGATCCTTAGGTGGATTTTCAAAGCTTTCCAGCTTTTAAAATTTTGAAATTTTGCCCCAGCTATCTCTCTCACTTGGCCTTTTTATTCTCATCCTACCCACTTGTACCGGGTATTCAACTACATTATCCATCTACCATTTTCCCAAAATACAATAAAAAAATACTGTTTGGTCTTTACACAGTGCTGGTCTGTTTTTTTTTCCAATTATTCCACACTTGCTGGAATTTTATTCATTGTTTAGAACTTAGTTTAAATGCCATGCCATTGCCTTCGTGAAGCTCAATGGCATAGTTAGTTAAGTACAATTGCATCTTCCACTGTGGATTGTAAATTACTTTTGAGTAGGGATTATAGTTTTATTTTCCCCCATTTTTTTCCTTTAATAGTATCTAGCACAGTTACATTGATCTTCGTTGGCATTCTACTATCTCTAGCAAACAGACGTAAAAATTAAAAGGGGTATTCATTGTGCTGAAGTAAGGTTTATCTCTGAAACGTAAAGCAAATATAAAACAATAAAAATAAAAATTGATCCCATTAGCAAGGCAAGTAATTTTTTTAATTGTATAACTCAGTAGTTACTTTCAGCATCAATTATTGATAAAATTTTTAAATGTTTTAAGGGATTATAACATGACAAAACAGTGGTTCTCAA